CTCATTGGGCATAATCTCTCTCCTATCTCATTAATAGGCCCCCTCATTAAGCCTCCATAATTACCTCCCACAATTCCCTCTCATCCAATTTAATTCTCCCCATTAAATTTGAATTTAAATTCAAATTCATCCCGGCAATTCCACTTAATCTGAAATTTAATTTCAGATTTTCATTCTCTCTCCCCAAATTGATTTGGGATTTAATTAATCTTGCCACCTATGCAAGTACATGACATTTACGTTTCACATCAAGAAGACTTCTAAACCTCGCATAATATTCAAGCACATCATAATTGCCTTGTTTACAATTCTTAATTTGGACATGCAATGTGGTCCATATATTCATTGAATGATGAATAATGTTCTTTAGATTAATATTTTATGCAATCCCATGTAGATTTAGCAGAAAAACTTTGCCAATAATATTGAGCGTGTGCTATTAATTTTGTTTCAAATAAATTGAACTTTTTTGAAATAAAAAATACTTTAACATGCAAAGAAATATTACATAGTATCAATCCAATTTTTAAAAAAAAAATCTCTAAGATTATATATCTCATCAAATATAGGAATATAAGTTGAATCATATGAAAGCCACATTGTAGTTGTCTAACACCATTGATTAATCGATTTCATTTAAAACCCATCATGTTATTGTCACGACCCGGCCCGGATACTCGAACTAACAAGACGGAAAGAGAAAGTCAGACAGTATAACATTTCATTCCATTTCATAAACAAAATAATATACTTCTCAAAACAACTAAAGAGCCACTATTATAAAATTTTCATAAGAATTGTTTTTTCAAACTAAATATTGACATCAATCATGAATTACTTGTTTTCATTTGCACGTCGTTTTCTATAGAAGTACTCCTCCCTTTCAGCCAATTCTAATTCTCTGGAGACTTACCAGAAAATATTAATTAGATAGGTTGAGTTTACAAAGTAAACTCAGTGGGTAATCTTTATATAATATAGCATTTAAACATGCACAAAATACAATGCATATTCTTTTTCTCATTTCATATACAATATTAGAATTTATATAAACAGTCATATAACATTTAATATATGCATCTCGTTTTCCATTTCATTCATCATTCCTTTATACAATTCATATACAGTACATTTCATAAAAAATTTAGCATTTATTCATTTTCCAATTAAATTTGTACAGAAGCACCGTCTCAATATACCAATAAAGGTACAACAATTTCTATTTCCATTTAACGTGCACGGGTACATTGCTTCCCCAGCCAGTAACATACGGAGGTGAACTCTTATAATTTGCATACATATTCTTTTCTCTTTTCATTTGTTCATTTATGTTTTTATTTATAATATAAGTCATATCATCCTTTCCTCATTTTTGCTTCACTTTCTATTTTCTTTACATATGCATTTATATCCATAATATCATGTATTTGATACACATTTTTTCTATCCTATTCATTTATTTTTTGAACTTCTATTTAAATTCTAAAGATAATGTCTAAATAATTATTTTACTTATATTTTTATGTTATTATGTGAGATGATTCAAATACATATGCGATGATGAATTTTGACATTAAATGTCTATACAAAATTGTAATTACCCACTTTATTTGTTTGCGAATGCTCAATTCCTTTTCAATCAACAATTCTCAGTACTTCCTGTACTCCCCTCTCTCAATAATGAAATCCTCCACTATTGGCATTAAATTCATCATTTAACACTTGACCATTTTTATAATTCCACAACAAATCCAAACAAAAAATGATTACCTTACTAAAACTTCCCTTCCCTGGAATTCTTCTTTCCTCCACCGTCAAACCAAAATCTATATCACTTAGATTCTTCCAACATAAAATCAAAATATATTTCTTATTATTTATTCAACGTAAGAAACAAGAAATGAAAGCATATGACCTCAACTAAATCACTTACTTTCCCTTAAGAAGTTCTAAAGCCTAAATTCTTCTTCTTCTTTCTCTTTCTCTCTCCTTCTACCTTCTTTTAAGATGATAAATCATTTCATAAGATTAAATCACAGAAGATGTAAAAAAAATGCATAAAATGTGAAAGCCTACCTTCTTCTCCTTCTTCTCTCTCATATTCGGTCTATATCACTGTTCATTCATTTGCTTCCAAAGGAATGAGGGAAACAAGCATATAATTCACGAGTAGTTATTTTCCTCCCACGTACGTGATCATTCGCTCAAAACTGCGAACTGAGTCCTCCAGACCCTCTCATGCTCGTTTTCGGCCCACTCCAGTCGTGGTTTCGTCCGTTTGTTTCATCCCTGCTAGCCCGCGATTTATTAGAAGTTGGTCGACCGGTTCAATTGAACTAAAATATCGATCAAACATTGGGAAACACTAAATATTAAGATGTCCCGCATGCCCTTCCTTAGAAGAGCCTATATGCCAACATAGGCTTTAGGCATTAGCAAATACAATCCATATCCATTTAAAAGTTAAAGTAACCAAATTCAATATACAATTTGAAAACATCAATGACAACAATTGGCTTCATATTATGCATCCTAGCCTAGCATTGCAGTCTCATGGAGTTAGCTACGTTAAACTTGAGAATATACAACCTCAGCCAATGTCGTTAAGCTATCTTAAACTATGCATTCAAAACAATTGCTAAAACAAAAAAAATCCTGGTACTCATCAAGCTTCGTCAAGTTAAACTTTCTTATTAAATCTAACTCACTCAAAAAGAGATGAACAAAGTTCAAAGAACATACCTTCTTCTAAAAAATTGCCCAGATGATTAAACTGTTACATGTTGCGATTTCTTCCCATATACAAAAAATAACCACCTGTACTTGGAAACACACCGAGAATCTTCAGAAAAATGGCTTCTTTCCCTTCTAATTGAAAGCAAGGACAATGTACAAATAATTGCATGGAGCCATGTATCATAGTTGGGATAAAGTCATCATGATTTATTAACAAATTCTTCATCATGCACACAAAAAAAATAGTAATTGAGAACTAAATAAATAAATAGGATAAGCAAATTAATACTGGAAATCATAACAGTGATGACGATATGCTACAATATACTAGGCCACCATCAAATCTGCACATGCAGACGATGATATTTTAAGCATCACAAAAAACAGTTTTGACTTGTTTTATTCTGATTGAAAAATTGCAAAGTGAGCTGAAGCACTTATATTCTGCCTGAAAATGGGAAAAGTAAAATTCCTTGTTGATTAATCCTAACATTAGGGCTTAAATCTTCCATTTCTCCCCTATGATCATAAAATTTCAAAAAAAAAAAAAAATCAATAGCAGATAATAAGAAACTTCTTCATATGTCTATTGAGGGTATCAAATTCAAGTGAAATCAAGCAAAAATATTTTGTAAATGGGGAAGAACCAGAAAGCAAAACTGAGAAACGCATGAAAACCTCAAAAATTAAATCTTCTTTGAAACAGTTCCATTAACAGACTCTTTCATATCATCTCTCACCCACCTCAAAAATTTAAATTTCAATATTAGATCAATTCCTCGCTAGAGTCAAAGCACAAAGGACACTGCTTTCCAATTAAAAACAATATTTACAACAAAAACAAGAGAACTGGAAATTGACAGGTAAATAATGGCATCAAGGATAACATTTTCCAAGTACTTGATAATGTTTGGTAAGTCCAAATAGAACAAATTTTAGAGAGGAGGAAAAATTAGAAGCCAAAACTACAGGCGAGCTGATCACAATAATAAAAGGAAATAACACACGATTTCATTCTGTTAGCACTAAAAAGAGATGATGATAATGCAGTGTGAATACTCTCCATGGCAAGCTAACAACCATTCATTCTTCCAGGCAAAAAAAAATCAACAAAAAACCCATATCCAATAACTGAGATTCCTTGACCCTTTGTAAGGGACTTTACAACAATTACTTCTCACTTGTAACACATGTTTTGAACAAGAAGATTGCTGTGTACAAGGAAGAATTAAAAAGCCAGTTGTGCACATTATGGAATACCTTAGCAAGTGATTTCTTATAAGTTTCCATAAAAGCCACTTTACTGCATCACCGGCATTTTATTGATGTAAATCCCAAGGCAAGGATCATTCAACCCAATCAACTCACAATATGCCATGTTTTGATCAAACTTATGACGTGAAAGAAAAAAAAAAACATTCTTTCATTATTTCATGACTTCGGCCCTTACAACAGATATGAGCCTTTTGTCCTTCTTACCAAAGAATTGCCCCCTCTTAGGCTATAAAGATATTTTTGATGGAAAAGATGTAGATAAAGCAAAAGTGAGAGGAGTTTAAACGCCCGGCAAAATGCTGCTTAAACAAAATCCATTTACAACCTTTCATAGTATAATCTTCTTCATTCCACACTCCTCAAAGATTTGAATTTCAAGATTAGATATACTCAAACACGCAACAAAGCGGAAAAATTAATATTCTTTCCAACAACAAAAAAATGCAATTAAAACAACAGAATTAGAACTTGAAAGGTCACAAATGGCATCTAGAATAACATTTTCTGAGCACTTGATATTGTTTGATATGTCCATATATATCAAATTTTATCAAGAAAGGAATAGAAAAAAGCCAAAACACAAGGGAGGCCTGCTCACAATATTAAAAGGAAATCACGCACTATCGTATTATGTTAGCACTCAAAAGAGATGATGAAGTGTGAATACTCTCCACTGCACGCTCACACCTATTCATTCTTCCAGGCATACAAAATCAATGAGAAACTGGTACCCCGTAACTGAGGTTCCCTGAACCTTTGCGAAGAACCCCACAACAATGACTTCTCAGTTGAAACACAAGTTTGGAACATGAAAACCGCGCTACCCATAGAAGCATCAAAAAGCCAGTTGTGCACATCCCAGAATACCTCAACAGGTAATCCATCGACAAGAATTGTCTGATTTCCTCTAAATTTCCATAAGAGCCGCTTCACCTGCATCACCCGCTTCTTATCGATGCGAATCTCAAGGTTAGGATCTTTCAACCCAACTGTGTCACACTCAATCACTATGTCATGAATTTGACCATTATCACAGAATTGAGCCTTTGTGCAGTAAACCTTCTTGCCAAATATGTGTTCCCTCTTCGCAATGAACATGGCATTAGAAGGAGGTGGGCCTGCATTGGCTTTCCGGTATGCCTCCTTGACCAGATCACCAAGAAGGAGGACTATCTGGAAATCAAAGAGCACTGTAACATAGAAACCTTCCAGTGGCTCTGGCCCTGAACCAAACTTTGCATTAGAGAGATCCCAGAAGATGTCCACCCTGTTATTTTCTGCCTCCGTGCTCTTGGAACCTTTTCTTTTTGAGAATAGCCATGGCTTTATATCCACCTTGCAGAGGGACTGGTTACTGGAATCATCTATTCCGATACTCAGACCTTGGCCCATCATATTCTTGGTCCAAGTGATGGTGATCACATACGAGCGGCCACAGAGCTGTGTGCTATAGAGACAAGTAACAAGATTCTGAGAGGTTTTGCTTGAATTCGACGAGGCATCAGCCACCTGAACTCCGCTTTCACCGAAACACGAAGGGAAATCCCTCATTCTTATGAAAGTGAACGAAACCCTTGAAGACTTGGACTAGATCAGGGAGAACAGAATGCTCTAAGGATGAAGAAGAGCGAAACCTTAATTATAGGCTTGCAGCGATGAAGAAGCCAAGTACTCCAACCCAAGGAATGAAACCGAAGGGAGACCCGCTAATGTGCTTCATAGAAACCATTTAAGAAAGGAATTTTGAACTAACGGCATGATCAATAACTTAGGATCAGAAATCAGGAACCCTAATAAACCTGCTCCACCCCTTCTTGTCCAAAACTGCATCAAACAGTGGATTCAAAGATGTGAAAACGAAGAATTGGAGGACATTCAAAACTTCATATTCAACCAATCAAGAAAAAAAATTTAAACTTAACAGGGAAAAAAAAAAAAGAAAAACTCACACTTTTTAATGTAAACAGCCAAACTTCATTTAAGAAGAAAGCCAGAACAGAAAAGATTCCGAAATCAACCCAAGAAAGCAGCCAACCATCGCCCTCACTCTATAGAACTCAAGATCCCAAGTTCCCAAGTGCTAAACCAACAGACCCAAAGAACCAAGATAGCATCAAGGAATGTTGTGCAGTGGAGGAAGAGGAAGAAAGAGGGAAACAAAGAAAGAAAAAGAAGAAGGGCAGTGAAAGCAGACAAACAGGCGCTTGTTTCTCTGTCAGATAGCTACATCCAGATCAACTAATAATAGCAAGGTGACATGAATCACAGAGAGAGAAAAAAGAGAGTGAACAAGTAACAGGGCAATGCTGAAATTGAAAGGCAGCTCAAATTATAACATGGCACATGAAAAGGGCAAAATCACAAAGGAATCTCCCTCCAAAATTATAAAGATCTCTCTTTTACCTGGTAAAGCCCACATGCAGGCTTAAAAGGAAATGCCCAACAGCCAATTTCACCGCTACATAAACCCTAGACTGATTCCAATGTGGTAATCCTTGCCCCCTCCCATCCTAATCCCCGGATGAGGTTCGAGAGTAGTGGCAAGTGATCAATTTCAAATCACAAATAGTCCTTTTCCGGATATAGGCCTGCTGAAAGAAACATAGAGAACAGTAAAAAAAAGGTAGAATTAAAGGGGTGTTTAATGGATTAGGACTGTTTGGTTTCGATTGCCATCTGGTTTACATATTAATACTCTTCAAATAGTAAATATTTCATAAATGTGGACCACTTCATAGTTCATATAACTTATTTAAAATTAAATTTTTTTATTAAAAAATTATTTAAAAAGAAGTAAGAAAGTTATTCCAAATCAAATCTTAGATTTTTTTTACTATTTTTAATAATAAAATGTAGTGATCAATATTATATTTTAAAAACTTGTGAATAATAGCTATTCTTAGGAGAAATTATTCTGTACGGTCACCATTAGACGATGATAGGTGAATCAGGAAGTGTCATGTCATTTTTTTGTTATATATCGGTGTTATGTACCGGATGACATGACACATATTAATTCTCCTCTGAATCGTCTGGTGGCTACATAGAATAATTTCTCTATTCGTAGGGGTTTATGAACTTCAAATTAGTAACTATGGAGTAAAGTTCAATTGGATTAATAACTTAGAGAGCTATATGTGTTAAAAGAAAATTGGAATTGAAATGGTTTTTATTGATGAACTGTTATAAATAAGGATATATAGTTAATAAGTCACACAATTGTGGTTGGGCATGAATCTCAATGCATATTTGAATTGAAAACTTTCAAAGTAAATACGAGGCTATTTGAAATCTGATTTCAAAAAACTTTTAGTTAAATAAAATATCTCAACAAGGTGAACCTAACAATGTCAAAATTGGTTCAATCTAAGCCTAAATGAACCCAAATCAATGATCTAAAGCATATTTGAAATCTTCAAGACTCTAATTGGATGATCAGATGATCAATAAATATGGCATGCTTATAGTCGAATGGAGCCGCTTGGAAAGACAAATCCAATTAGTCTAAGATTTCTTAATTTTGGTGTCATTAAGACACTTAAATGTTGAATGAATATTTTTTTATCGAGGGGATCAATGTGAGCCATCCGATGGAGCACTCTGAATTTGTCTCTAATCTTCTGCATATTTATAGAGCATGACACTTTCAAAATCTATAAATAGACATCTACTCTCTATATGAGAGAGACCTTTTGGAACTAGTAAGCTTGGATCTAGTTGGGGTTAGAGATTCAAGAGAGCTTTGAAGCTTGAAGAATCTCGAAGCTTCCCCCAAGCACCACAGTTGGCGAAACCTAATCTTCGTTGGACTCGACTACAGCCCTCGAACCACCATCGCTGACTACAGTCCTTCCGACCTTCATCATCCGTTGACTAGGTCCTTCTGACAATTGTTGCCCAACTACGGTCCTTGGACCACCATCACCTGACTACGGCCCTTCTGATTTCTATCATTCGCCGATTACAATCCTTTCGAACTATAATCCTTCTGACCTCTGTCACCAGCCGAGTACGATCCTTCTTACCTCCGTCAGTTGCTAACTACGGTCCTTTGATTTCAATTTTCTAACTACAATCCTTTTGACCTCGTCGCACTGCTAACTATTTTCCTTCTGACTTCCGTCGCTTGACTACTGCAGTCATTTTGACCACTATCGTCTAACTATGATCCCATCGACCTTTGTCGCCCCTTTAAGGTCCTCTGTTGTCATTGTCCCACTACATTCCTTCCGACCTTCGTCATCCGTCAATTATAGTCCTATGACATCCATTGCCCATTAACTACAGTCTTTTCGACCACTGTCGTCCGACTACTTTCCTTCAAACCATCATTGCCATTCCCTATGGTTTTTCCCCTTTTAAGAATTTTTCGCATAAAATTCTTGGTATCTCTTATGTCTCTTATGACTCTCACACGCTCTCTTTTATCCGTGTGTGTGTGTTGGATCTCTGATTAAAGTTAGGATGCTAAACACTATATCCTTCTACCGCCGTCAATATTATGACACACAACATATATATAAACCTTTTACGGTTATGAAATAAAAAGTTCTCTTCAAAATAATTATTTATACTTTTTTTATATAGTTTATTTTAAAAATCGGATATTAATTATTAAAGTAAACATAATTGATTTAAATTCTAATACAAAATTTAAGCATTTTTCAAATACTAAGATGCTTAATGACTACTTAGTTCAAATATTGTAATTTAAAAAACTAGCTAGCTCAATACTATAATATATATGATTATTTTAAGTAATTAAATAACTAGTAGAGAGAATTTTCTTTTTAATTTAATACTTTCTTATAATTAATTAAATTAGAATAATAAGAGAAATAAAGTATTTAAATTATATTACAGTTAATCGGTGATACTCCACCAATGTGAGCACTCTAATTTAGGATGTTTTCACCATCTTTTTCACTTCTATTTACCATTAATCCTACGTGAAGTTTTTAGACAAATGGGTCAATGCAACAATTATTTTTCTTTTTCTTATTGTTATATTTTGTGGCTCCTAATTTTTTTTTGCAGATATTATTACGTCCTCTGACCGGACGTAGAGCTACGTTTGGCCGCCAATAATATGTCGCCACGTGCTCTTACTCTTTACCGCGCGGCCCGACGACTTGACCCGGAGCGGAACCCTGGAATGCTATGTTCGCGATTTTCTCAGTATTGCTTGGTATTTGCTACGTATTGCTTTGCAAAAAAGATAGATACTGCTCTGTCAAAGCTTTATTCAAGCTTGGGCAAATTTTTTGAGTTTTGGATGCTTGCTTTCCTTTTCATTTGCTTTTCTCTTGTAATTAGATAGGGATCATTAACTCTTTAGATTTTTTTGTAGCTCTTGGAGCATTTAGTGAGTTTTGGATCCCTCCAAGGACACGTAATCCTTTTTTTGATGTTTAACATGTAAGACCTTTGTGGGTTTTAACCTTTAAAAAAAAATATCATCGAGTCATGACAGATGTATCATTCATTAGTGAAATTATTATGCGCGGTCACCAGATGTTGTCTGGAGGTGAATTAGGACGTGCCACTTCACTTTTTTGTTGTGTATCATCATGTACCGGGTGACATGGAGCATCCTGATTAGCCTCCAGATAGTCTGGTGACCGCACTTAATGATTTCTCCATTCATTAACACTACTTTATCTTCCAAAAAAATAAACAAACTAATAATTAAGTACATATCTAATAATTGAAAAAACAATACATGTGCATTAAAGCAACCCTGTCTGTATATTTTTCACATAAATTAAAATTAAGATTTGTTATATAAAAGAACAAAAAACAGCCAAAACTAGTATCATACAAGGCCTAAGATTAATCCTTTTATGGCCCATTTCTTACTTTAAACTCAACGTCTCTATCAATTAACACACACATATGCACACCACTAAGATTCGATGGGCAAGCTGTTGAAGCCAAGAATCAGATTTGGAGAGAACTTAGCTTTGTCCTTTGAAACTTTTTGTGTTGGAAGTAACCTATTATTGTAATGAACAGAGTTAGGAGATGAACTGTCATAACTCAAATGTATAGTTGGCAAATGCTCATGTGAATGTGTGAAGGATTAGCTGGCCATGATCGAATTGGTTGGTTCTCTACAGATGACTTTCTTACAGCTTCTTAAAGCAGCTTTTTAGTACAAAAATTTTAGTTTTTGTATTAAAAAGCTGTTTTAAAAAACAGTAAGAAAGCTGTCCCAAACGAAACCTTAGTTTTATGAGAATAAATATATGAGTGGAACTAAGGACATGGGTTGCATTATGAGTAATGGTCTTCATTGATGGAATGCATGTTCAGTTGTGGAAGGTTAGGTGGGGTGGGAAAGAAAATTATTTGCTTGAGATTTTGCCAGCCTACTGATGTTCATCCTTGTTATACGAGGAATCTCATTAGATAAGTGAGAATTTGTTGGAAGAAAAGAGAGTGGATTAAGCAAATCAATAATTTTATATATAGAGTTAATTATTTAAGAAGTTTCTCAAAAATGAATACTTGTTTCGTCGAAATGATATATCGATATCGATCTCTTTGAAATAAACTTCGTATTATGTCCTCTTCTCTTCTCTCTCTTATAAATTTATTTACAATTTGTTGATAAAATATGCAAGATTGTGATATATTTCGAGTTAATTAAACTTTCTTAGATCAGTTTATATAGCTACCAATACTAATTAAGCTTTAATGCTCTTATATAACCATCAACTAAATACAAAACTGTCTAACTTCTGCAAAGGCTAAAATTTTTGTACTAGAAAGCGACTTTAAGAAGCAGTAAAAAAGCCATCCCAAATGAAGCCAAAATCACATAATATCCACGTTCAAGCTTTTTCACAAAGAAGCTCAATTACTACATCATCATGTGATTCATATATAAAAGTTGAGTAAATACCTAACCCATTTTCAAAGTTTCATATAAGAAACTTGAAACCTACCTCACAATGTGATTCATGCATGATATTGGATTAATGCCTGCCAAATCTCCAAATTAATGAAATATTGTTACAAAATACATATCTTTTTAGTGACAAATCTCCACTAAGGCTTTGTTTGAGACGGTTTTCTTCTTGCTTTCTAAAACAATTTTCTAGTACAAAAATTTCTTGAATTTGAATTTTTTGTAGTAGAAAGCCGTTTTAAAAAGCAATACAAAAACTGTCCCCAACGAAGCCTAGTTTGGGAGACTTCGTTTGGGACTACTTTTTATTGCTTCTTAAAAAAGAGTTTCAGTACATAAATTAAATTTTTTGCACTAAAATTCTGTTTTAAAAAGCAATAAAAAAGTCGTTCCAAATAAAATCTAAATAAAAATATCTCCACTTTTTGAAATTAAATTCCAATGTACCAAACTGACACTAGACAAAATGTGTAACACAAGACTA